TTGGTCGTTTTTGCCCCCCTCAACCTCAGGAACACTCTATAATCTTCCTAATGTCCTTTTTTGACAAAAAATGGGCCCGTTTTCACAAAAAATGGGACATTTTTGGTCGTTTTTGCCCCCCCCCCCCCCCACCCCTCAGGCTCTACAAGCTCCTAAGGGCTATTCATGTCCTTTTTTTAAAAAAAACCTGGCCTGTTTTCATGAAAAATGGGCCGTTTTGGGGAGGTTTGCAGAGTGCAAAAACTTTTTTTTTAAATTTGCCCCTTCAAAACCTTGGTGCATCTTATACTCTGGTGCGTCTTATACTCCAAAAAATACAGTATATGGAGGCAACCATATACATTATCTTAATATATATTTATAACATATTATAAAATAATAATATAGAATATCATGTCACACAAAAAATAGTGAATTAGAAAGCTGCTTGGTCTTTCAAAGATAGGTTTGCTCCTAGAATTAGTTTATTGAAGAAAAGAAAGGTTCTTCTATTCAATGCAGAAACGAGATGTACCTATTCTCATTATGATTCTTGTACTAAAATTAGCAATAGATTCTGGATTCAGTTTTGTTGCTGCTACTAGGAAGATGCCAGAATTATTAATCTGAAAACTTGCCAGCCATCTCTACACTCTTCTTCAAGTTCTTACCTTTGCCAACATAATTCTTGTCTTGGCTACATCCAGAGGAGTGGTCACTGCAGCTGCAAATCCACCTGAGCATATAAAAATGCCAAATACAAACAAGACTTTGTTAGTTTACAATGCAAGTTGCTTAGCCCCATAGTTCCCATAGCTTCTGCCAAATTCACTTCATGATTACTTCTGAACCTTGTCCTTCACCTCCAAGATTTATCTGAAGTCAGAGCCACGTTGACTTGTGGTGATCAGTCCAAAAACGCATCTGTATGCATATGTGCGTGTATGTATGCATGTATGTGTGTATAAACACCGTATCTCTCTGTCTGTATTTGTTTATATTGATATAAAAGTTCTCTGGACAATTTTTGTCTAGCCTCCAACCTTCCTTTTTAGAGGAACACTGTTGAAAAAGATGTACAGGCTGCATTTACAGAGAACCTCAGAAAAAAGTGATTATCTAGACCTTTTTCAGTCAGATTTTCAGTTTGGATAAAGTACAGAGATGCTGTTTGGTTCCACTTAATGGTAATGAATTGAAGAGGCTAGATGGGAGACATATGATCATCATTGCCATCTTAAACCTCTCAGTGGTTCTCAATTCCTCAATATCTTTCTGATCCGGCTACATGGAGGGAGATGGGCCATTAATAAGAAATATGAATGAATGAATGAATCAATCAAGAAATTAAAAAATGATGGTTCTCCAACTTTTCTGTGGCTGATTTTATTAGCTTTGGGGGTGGCAGGGCAGAGGGTGACCCCAGGATTCAGAACAACCTCTTCCCAGTTTAGCTTTCCATTATGTCTGAAGAAAACAGGAATTACAAAAACAGTAAGAAAGGTCAAGAAAGTCCTCTAGCTAGATATAGGATGTGGAAGTGAAAATTTGGAAGGAGGAGCAAGCTAAAAACACAAAGGAAGAGTGAACTACATTTATCCTATCACTGCTTTCACTAAACATGCCTACAATACTTCACAACAGGAAAAATTCAAAGAACATGGCTTTCAGTAGATTCATGTACTTATTCTATCCTCTCTATCATGATCTTGAAAATGAAGCTTTTTCGACCCATTTCTTAATCAGTTGTGCTGTTCTTAGATTACTTATATATTACATTATTTAGACAGCTGTGATGAATTAATTGAATTTATATGCTATAGTAAGATAATTAACATCATGTGGTATTTTTATGCCATGACAGGTAAAAAAGCACCACTCAATATATGAATCAGATTATCATCTATCAACTTTAGGTCAATGAAAGTTTAATAAGTGTTTAATAAATCTGCCTGCACTGATTTCACACCATCTGGAAAATTATCACAATTATTTCTTGGATTCCAATCGTTTGGACAAGATGCATAAATAGTGCTTATAACCAATTTTTTTCTGGCTGATTCAAGAAGGTGGGACATAGTCTCTTAGAAGCGCCAACGCTTATTTCATCAGAATGTTTAACAGAGGAATCTAAAAGCTAGGTGAGTTATAAGCCAAAGTGTTCCCCACTATCTGCTAACATATGCACCAGTCAACTGCAGTCCCAACACATCTGGAAATGGCCAGTTTTGAAAAAGTTAACCTTAAACCATAAAATATGTTAATTTTTCTTAAAACTAATAAAATGGAAAAGGGACAAAGCTAAAAAAAACAGAACAGCTTAGCACAGGGGTGTCAAACTCACGTTGTCACATCATCGTCACATGACGTATTTGACTTTTCCCCCCATCACTAAACCAAGTGTGGGTGTGGCCAATGTGTGATGCATCCTGCCCACAGGCTGGGATTTTGACAGACATGGCTTAGTGTGTTATCCGAACTAGAGATTCTGAATTATCTTTCTCACAAAAGCCAGGATCCATAACTAGTATTAAATCTAATTTGCATATCTGGCATTGATATGGAAACAATTATACAAGAGTAAACAAGCATATAGCCTGCTTGCCATAATCCAGGGTTATCTCAAAATCCTTCCCAGTACAGAAACACACATATAGTTTATTTACTTGTTATTGAACAGGAAAGAATGACTCGTATAACTTTTTAAGCCAGGATTGCTGACTAAATGTAACTCGTAAATATGTTCATTGGGACAAAAATAACTACACCTGAACAATCCCACCTTGCTTCTAAACTGTGGGTGTTAAGAAATGGAAAATTATAGCTATTTCTTCAGAAACAATAATATCACTAATGCATTTAGAATTAGGAATTAAATTTACTGTTCTAACAATGCGATTTTGATACCACTCTAGCTAAGAAAAGAATCACAGCAATAAAGAAAAAGAAGAAAAGAGGTTAAAAAAAGCAAAATATTCTCAAAGGAGAGTACCTATAATATACGAAGGGTCAAGATCAGACCACTTATATATATGTGCTGGATTTTCTGAAATAAGTGGTCTGATCTTGACCCTTCGTATGTGTGTGTGTGTGTGTGTGTGTGTGTGTATGTATGTATGTATGTATGTATGTATGTATGTATGTATGTATGTATGTCTGTCTGTCTGTCTGTCA